CTCGGCATCAATATCACTCTCCTTTCGGCCAGGTCAGGTGCCAGCCCTATGCAGAATGCCATGCGTGAGTCCTAATGAGGAAGGGGGGGTGAGATGCCAGAATTTGGTGTGTGTGTGTGTGTAAAGGGAGGGGTCGTCGGTGGGAGGCATCGCCAGTTGGCAGGCTGGCACACAAAGGCTGGCACGATAAGATCCTCCCTCTTCTGCGGGCAGATTTTCTCGCCCATATCTTTTGTTTGGCTTGTTTGGGTTGCGGCTCATCCTGATAAAGGCCACTTTGTTTAGACAACAAAGCGTGAGGGAGGGAGAGAAGGGAAAGATAGAGAGACAAAGAGAGAGAATGAGAGAGAAGGGTTGGGTGGGTTGGAGTGGGGGGTGATGGGGGGCATTAGAAAAGGCGGCAACGGGAGTGTGGGGGGCACCGGCACAGATGGAAACATTAAAAGAAAAAGAGAGAAAAGTGTTAAAAGAAGGCGACGCGAGAAGGAAAAAAAAAAAGAGAGCGCGCACCTCGTACTGGATAAGACATTATCGTTGCAGATACACGCTGAACAGTAGATATGCACACAGAGGCGGGTATGAAAAGATACAATAGAGGAGGGATACTGTTGCAGGCACAGGGACAGCGATAGACAGATAGCGAGGAGAAGAAAAAGATTTGGAGAAGGGAGCAGGTTCTGCTGGAAGCCAGCCCGAGTAGTGTGAGGTCATCGACAAAAGCTGTGAATGATAGAAACCAGGAGCAGAGGAGGACACGGGACACACACACACATATTACATACCAGCACATGTACAGTCATTTATGCACGCCGTCACGACTTGTGTGACCCCTGTGCTGCACATACACGGACACACAAGCACTTGATACGTATTTGGACTGTGCATTTCCAAGGAAGGACAAAGTGGAGGCTCCCGCACCGGAAGAGGAAAGAAAAGCAGGAGGACACTGAGCAGAAAGTCTGCTCGGCCACATCAAATATTTACTCAGGAGCAGCTGTATTGTCGAAACATTACGCATCGGAGGCGCTCCGTAATTAGGTCGATATTTTCTGCCCCTCTCCCTCTTTCTGTTTCCCTACTTCTCTGGGAGTCCACCCCTCTGCACCTCTCCTCCGCACACTCCCCTCCCCTCGCCTCCCCAGGCTGCTGAAATGCGTCTTGGCTCGGGACCCATGCCTCTGGCAGCCAGAGTGCTATACATGTGCACAGAACCCCGCTCGGCATAAAATGGCTGCCAGACAGGCTTCTCCTCCTGAAATGTCGACAGCGGTATGCATCTGCAGGGCGTGCGTGTTGCGCGTGCGCACTGTTTTTTTGTGGAGGATATCTGTACGCGTCTGCAAGTGTTTGCGGACTAGAAACGTGCACCGCAGTAATCCAAAAAAAAAGAAAGAGAAAGAAAGAAAGAAAGAAAGAAAAGGGGGGGAAAAAAGCAACTTTCCCAAACTATGTGGCTAATTTAACCCACACTGTGTGCGTATGTGCATGTGTGTTCTGCAATTTAGTGGGAACAGAATGGGTATCATGCCAAAAATGAAGAGGGTGGGTTAGGGAGAGTGTATGTGTGTGTTTTAGTGATTCTGAAATCCAGGCGAGCAACACACTTGGGCGTGGAGAAACCTCACAAGCACTGCGAAACTTTCTTGCCGAGCCAGATTTCTGTTGCCATTACCCCTAATTGCCCTAATCGTTACAGTGGTATGATAAGTATCCCACCGGACGAGAAGGTGTAAGAACTCGTGGACACATCCAAAATACCCACAAGCCTTTTCTCCTGCTTTTTTCTTCCCCCTCTTTCTTTTTTTTTTTTGCTGAGTAACAACAGATAATCTGATTCATACGTGGTACTGTGTTTTTTTCCCCGCTTCCTTCATGAACCGGTTTGTTTATTTAAACAAGTGGCAGGGACGGAGGGTGCCAAGAAATGTTGTTTTTGGAAAAGGGCCGCGTGTGTATATGTGCGCGCGCGCGTGTGTTTATGTGTGCGAGAGAGAGGCCGCGTGTGTGCGGTGTCTGGCCTCGCGATCGAGCCCTGCCAAACTCCCAGGGCAAAGCCGAGCCTCCTCGACCGCAACTGTTTATTTACAGGTTACACTACTGTTTATTTGAAGACTATCGGATTGGCTGGGCCTCTGCAAAGGACACCTTGTAGATACAGATACCAGGCCTCAGGCTCGTGCTTCACCACATGTTTACTTTGTGCAATCTTTTTTTTTCCTTTTTTCAGAATAGCCTCTTTTATATGAAATTTCATTTGATATTTTGGAGTTCAGCACGGTTATCTTGTTTGCACAATTTCAAACGAGCGCTTTGTTCAGAAGCCTGTTGAATCACAAGCTAAGACTGTTCAATCCTACCTATTTAGTCATCTAAATAGATTTGATAGAAAGTTGATTTAGTGAGGTCGCACTAAACAAATAAAAAATGCATGCAGAAAACACCACGGGGCATGAAAAGCCCAGAACGAGAACGAGAGATAAAACGAGCACATCCGCAGACTCCCAAATGTGCAAGCGTCTTATTAAATATTTTAATCAAACTGAAAAAATAGAGGGAGCGTGAAGCTGCCCTTCTTGGGTCAAAGATAAAATGTAATGCAATAGGGGAGGTGTTTCCAGCTCTGGTGCAGACCTGGCAGATGTGCCATATGCTTGTATCCCACCTTGAGTCATCCAGGTGGTCTCTCCTGGTGCTACAGTGGGGCCTCATGCTGGAAGATGCTGCCTGGGATCTCTAATTGCCACGACCATCTGCTCTTTTTGTCATGGTTGCCTGTTCAGCCCTCGAAGAAGTAGAAAAAAAATAAAGGAAAAAGGAAAACAAACAAAAAACCGCACAACTCTGATCCGATCTAACCGAACTGTAGCAGCTCTCCCACCACCCCGCTCCCTTTTCCCCTCCCCGCGCTGCCTTTTCAGCATTTACCTCCTCCCTACTCTCTTGTGCTCTTTTCTCGCCCCCTGCCTGTTTCTCTCCCTCTCAGCACTTCTCGGGGAGCCAGCGTAGAGTTGGCAGTCGTAACTAGACTGATGGATGACTCGGAAAGTGGCAATTGGGATGGAGTGGGGGGGGGGGTGGTTGGATCGGGGAGACAAGGCCACTGAGTATCGTGCGATAACTTTATGGACATGTGCTAACTTCACGTAAAAGTTTGTGCGAGTGTGTGTTTGTAGGAGGAACTCTCTGTGTGTTGGTGGAAGGCAAAGCAAGCTATTTGGCTGATGTCTGAAATTGATTTGAACACGTTCAATGTGCAAGTTGCGATGTCATGCAGATTTTAGTATTGACCAAATCTACTCTAATAATTTAAATAGCTGACTACTCATTTAAATAATTTAGTAAGGAGCGGTATCATTTGTTTTCTGGCTTCCCAGCTTGTCAAGTTTCGTTTTTTTCTGTTTTATTTCAACTTTAAATGAAGTCTTTTTTTACTGCTGATCAGCCCAACAAACAAAAAGATCCATAGTTCGATCCTGAGAGGAGACAATATCCCTTTTTTTGAAGAAAGAAAAAATAAAATAATGTGGAGCTGCCCGCTGTGGCGACCCTTTGTGAATAAGGGAGCAACCGAAATTAGCTTTTTAGGAGAAAGCTGAACAGTTCTATGATGAAAGCACAAGTCGCGCTCAAGTTTTCACATGTTTTGGAAGTGTAGCAGATCTGTACCGTTGGCCTTTAACTTGTATGTTACGCATACATTTTTTAAAAGTTAAACATTAAAAGCGGGATTTTTTTCCCCCTTTGCTTAATGTATGGTCCTGTTCCCTCCCTGCTTTGTCATTGTTGAGCTTCGGCCAAGAACATTCTGTTTTTGCAGTCCTGTTTAATAGTCAAATTTAGGAGTGGGGGAACGAGAGAGAGAAAGAGAGAGAGAGCGGGAGAACCACATAGGGAGAGAACAAGAAAAGAATAAATCTTTCAACGTATTTTTTTTTTCCCTTCTCTTCCACCAGCCTCTCTTTTCCTTCTCTCCGTTGCCTCTGTAACGCAGCTCATGAGAGCTGCGGCAGGAAAAGGGGTGTTGTTCCAAGGCGAGGGTATCTGAGTTCACCGTCTCTGGCTTCTTGGGTCTCATGTTAAATGTGTAGATGGTAATCTCTCTGCTGCTTCTTAGTGCACCCCGTCTGTCCCGGGGCATGTATGGGCTTGGACTGGTTTGAACTATTATTGGGGTCCCATTAGGAGCCCCCTGCCAAGCATGGCTTGGTCTTAATATACTTTAGCGTGCGGTTATAATATCCTGTTTATACCGATGTTGACTGTTATGCTGCACGACTTATAAGGAAACAAAAAAAGGTGCCTTTGATCAATCACTGGGCGATGACGAACTCGTGAGGAATGATACGTTACCCTCCCAGTTAGGCTGGCAGGTAAAACACATCAGTCCGCGTGGCCTCATACCACAGTCCTGCGCACCATAACCGGTGGAAAGAATTCCACTCATGTTTCCTTGTGTTTCCCCACCCCTCCTGTCCTCTCTCTACGTTTTTTTGTTCTGTGCTTGTACCTTGCGCAGCAGGACCAAACACATTTTGTATGCCCCTCACCCCTTCCTCCCAACACCCCCCCCAGCCTCTTTGAAAAATTACCCAGAGGTCTGCGGGTAAAAACATTTAGGTTTATAGGTTAGTCCGTGTCAGACGCAGAGCTTTTGCTTCAGTTTACTCTCCCATTAATGATAATCCTGTTCAAACAAAAACGACTTGTTCATTGTGCAGTGGGTGCACTTTCCTGGAGAAACAGATAAGGAAAAAAAGAGGAAAAAAAACCTTCACGCGCTCGCGCAGCAAATGACTTCTTGCTCCCACAAAGGTGTTACATGTTACAATAAGAAAAAACAAAAATAAAGTCGGTTTGCATAGTTGCGTAATTTTTCAAGTTGCACGATTTGACCTTTGCTGGAAATAATCAGCGCTGACAAGAAAATATTTCACTTTGAGCGAGACGTTGCTGCCTTCTTTTTGAGCTAATCCCCGGCCCTTCTTTCTGTGTGTTTGCAGACTCTCAGCAGTCAGGAAGTCCAAGTAACAATGAGCCAGGCAAGAACCCTCTTCCAGGTATGTACACTGCCAGTCATCCTCCCTCCTGTCATCAGTCCATTGTTTTCTGTGCAGCTTTCCAACTGTACAGCAGCTTATCTACACTGTAACCTACTGAGTTTAAACAGTGTGCTAACCTCTGTGACTGGAAGGGAAAATACCTAAGTTTACAAGCTATGTTTAAGCAGACCCAAGGTATATACCAGATGGTCCTCTGTGTGAATACTCCAAAGAAATCGTCAGCACAAACCAGATTTAGCTAAACAGACAGTTGGTAAATGTTAGAAAAAAGTAAAATTCAAGTTAGTATCACTTTTGAAAATTCCCTGGCTAAAGCCTAAGTTGTAAACTTTATGTAGGCTAAGGAAAGAATAACATTTGAGTTCATCACCCCAGTCGGAGCTTCTGTGTTTTCAAAAAAATCCAAAAAGATCTGGAGTGAAAATGTTACAGCATATTGTGCCTTTGGCTGGTAGTTGAGTGCGTCAAGGTGAGCCAGCAGAGCTGAGCTGTAGAGAATATTCTTTGACAGTGCCGTTGTTCCCCTGGACTGACCTGCACTGTGTCGTCACAGTGCTGGAATGAAAATAGTTTGAGAAGTATAATTAGTTTTCTACCTCAAGAGCAGGTTCTGCTGATACCGGTGCCAAGAAAAACATGCTAGCGAGCCAATGACTCAGGCCTGGGAGGCCTTCGGCAGTGGCACAGTTCCTCGCAAAAGCCATTGGCTCACTTGAGGCATTAAGCTTAGTAGGTGCCAATCGAGATGCCCATCTATCTTTCTGGCACAGCCCGAGTGCCTTTGGCTTTAAATCAAAGCAGAGCCAGCTTCATTTGGGTGTCAGTAACTTGTCTGAGTATTTTACATGACTGACAGCATCTGATTAGCGCTGATGAGTTCTGGGCAGGGCATACACACTATAGTGTAAACCGGGGAAGAAAAAACACACACACACATTAGGGGTACTTTATTTAGTCTGAAAATGGTTTTCTAAAAAACAGAAGAAGAAAAAAATCTGGCTGTGCTTAAATAACCGTGTTCTACCTCATTCAGAGCAGCTTCGTTTAAAAAAGAAAACTCGAGCAGTCTAAGGTTCTGCAAATGATCGTTTTTATGATTATGCTTTTCTGCAGCTATTTCATGCTGTTATATCGTAACAGTGTCAATATTTACAGTGGTGAAGTTCTACCATTGTATTGATCAAACGGGCAGGACCTGCTGTTCAGCACGGACTCGTCTTCAGTTCTCACAGCAGCGGCAGCCTGCGTGTCCTCCGCCTCTCACACACACACACACACACACACACACACACACACACACACCTGTCCTGTCACTCTTTGCTGCGCTGCACAGGAATGGTTTTGTCCTCGGCATTTGTTTAAACATGTCAGGCCAGAAACAAAGCGAGTCACTCAGCACTTGTGCTTAAAATACTAGATGGAAAAAATAACAACAATAATACGAATAATAATAATTGACGCTTTCAGGAAATAGACCGTGACCCATGCACTTTCCTTTTCCATTTTTTCGATTTTTTAAAAACTGCCCGTTCCTAAATCCACAATCCATAAATTATATCCATAATTTAATGTATAATACATTAAATATCTTCCAAATTTAAAATGTTTTTAAATGACAGTTTGTTTTGTTTGAACAGTTTCCTGACTGAAAGAAGATACTAATCAATTTGCATGCAAACACAACTTGAAAGGGGAAAAAAAATCATAATAAAAAAGAAGAAATAAAATAGGTTCTTTAGCTCCATCCATGTCTAATGAAATAATTTAATAGCCGTAATAAATCTCGTGTTATTGTTCATTTTACAAGGAAATAATTACATGAGAAAGTCACAGCTTCATTAATCATTGCTTATTATGTTTCAGTGTATTTGGAAGACAGTTTCATCAAATCAGGAGTCTTCAGTGTTGCAGAACTAGTGCGAGTGTCCAGAAGTGAGTATAGAGCTCTTATATTGCTTTTAATGTGTGTGTCTTTCTCTTATCACTGATCAGACGTGTGGTTATGTTAAACACGGGTGGAGCCAAGCTGGAGCTTTAGAGATATGTTGACAGTGTAACAGGTTTAACAAAGTTAATATCAAGGTCAAAAAGCTGACACTCTGTCGGTCTATTCACAGGCAACTGGGGTCTAATTAGTGAATAGAACTGAAGGTACGACGATTGAAAAGACTCGTGTGGGTGTGCGCAGGCTCTGTGTGTTAATGTGTTTTCATATGAAGAGAAAAAACAGATTTAAGAAGGACAAAACAAAACAAATAAAAGTGCCTTAACCCTCAACAGCCACTTAAAATTCTGTTTTCCTCATAATCTCTGTATTTACTGAAACCCACCACACAGCTGTAGTGTGGATAATCCAGTTTGGCTGGTCTGCTTTTGCGAGAAAAAGAGCACTTGAGTGCACAGCTGTCTGTATGAGCCTGCAATCATCTGTATAGACATGTCCGCCCCGCGCAGAGCTGTTAACCGTCGTCCCTCCAGGACTCCAATGATAACTGAGGGCACGTCAAGGCACCTTTTACCTGTGTTGCCTCTGAGCTGTAACTGTAGCGAATGCGCCTGTGGTGCACAAAGACCCCAGTCACCCTCAACAACGAGCGTTTTAAAGAAACATACCTCCATGTGTTGTCTGTATCTTGCGCCGCCTTCCAGCTAGTTTTAATCCGATGGTTAGTGTGGTGTGGAATAAGCAGGGATACTTACATAAATTAGGAAATATTTATTGTTGACTCATGGAGATCACTTATGAATTAAATATGTCACTTCCAACTTCTCAATGAAATTATTTGGGTTTTTGGAGTAGACAAAACAAACAATTTTAATATGTCAGCATGGACTTAGGAGGAGAGTAGGAGAAAATAATTGTATATAGTTTAAGTATGTCTTTATATTTGGAAAAAATCTCACTGCAATGCTAACAACAAATGCTGATTAAATTTGAATTTTTTGGTAGTTTATGTAGTGCGTAGCACGTCTCTGATGGAAGCGTGAGCCACTTTGTCTCAGTTGGCTCGTTCATTGTGCTGTGAAAGACAGGACCTACTTGTTTCCATGCTCGCACACTGAATATCCTTTTGAAAGACTCTGTGTTTTTGTTTAGTGTTTAATGTGCCCCCTGACCAGATGGCCTCTGAGCTGCCATGTCTGCTCTCATGTGACCGAGCCTGGTTTCACTAAAGCCGACTGAAGTCGCGCTGGAATTTTAAAAAGGTCGACGGACGCACAGGAATTGTCACTCACTCAGCCAGTCGCTCCCTGGGAAGATATCTAAGCAGCCGCTCGTCCGTCATCGCGCTTCTCTCCCAGCTCTCCAGGCCGTTGAGACATTCTTTGAAGTCCATGAAAGGGGGGGCTGCGGAGTTCAAGGCTGATTTGCAGTCCTGCATTTCGCCGAGGACGCTCATTATTTGCAACAGGAGCCTCGACTGCAAGTGTAACAATATTTTGTCAACAGAAAACGTGGGCGTGCACGGGCAACTGGTGAGCGAATTTACTCAAAGTAAATCCTCTCCTGCAGCTGATTCAGAATCATTGTCTATTTAATGTTTTTGTTTTGGGGTGGTTTTCACGCCTAAATGTCCAAGCCCAGATTATCAAATGAGATGACTGGCAGGGTGGCCAAGTGGCATCGTCAACAAATATTGTGCTGAGCCAAGAGCCATAAAGAGAAACCAGCACACAGAGAAATCGCCGGGAATGTTCAAAGCTATGAATGAGAAAATTAAAAAAAACAGACAAAATAAAAACAATGGTCTCATCTTAAGCGTCCGCTGGCCGGGTGCATTCCTCCACAGACAGCTCGGTATGGGTAGCAGCGGGTAGGGGCCTTTGCCAGGGCTACAGCGGGCTGCCAGGGTGGAGGCTGGCGGAGGGATAGGCCAGTGGTGAACCTCAGACCACAACAGACGGCGCCACACACTCCATCCTCTCATCCACTCCAAACCAACCAACCGCTCGAGCTGCAGGCTGCCTTGCGGGCCACACACTGAAGAGAGATAAAGTGAGAGGCAGAGGAAAAAGAGAGCGGGAGAGAGCGAAGCTGGGTGGTGAACCTCTTTTGTTCTGTAAACACAGGCCTGGCCCCCACTGAAACAATATCCCTCACCTTGACCGCAGTGAGAAAAACAACACCTTTTCCACTGTAAATCATTATGTGAGGAAACTGCCAAGTTTTGCGCCCGATGATAAAGAAGTGAAGGAAATGCTGGCGATTGTGAACGTTTGCCACGAGTTTCTTTAGAAGCAATCCGAAGGCATCGTTTTAACTTTCACAAGAGGCATTTAATGCAAAAAGAAAAACATTTCACTCTTTAATTTGTTGTAAAGCCAAATAGAAATCTAGCCAAATAAAAATAACTCGCCTGTTCTAAACACACAAGCCGATGAAGCCGTTGTGCATCTAATTGTGCGAAAGATGGTGCTGACATTGATTTCCTTTTCTCTGTGTCCTTTGCAGTGCCCATTACCCACGGTGCAACAGTAAACTTCTCCATGGCGGACATGCCCAGCCAACCTTACTATCATGACCTGAACTCCAGCGTGGGGCTGCATCGCCCCCTGTCCTCCCCTCCTGGCAGGTCAGTGGAAGTTACGGCAACAGATAGTTTCAGGATAAGAGCTATTTGGAGATAAAAGTGCTGCTGCAGTTCTGCAGCGTCAGAGTGACTTTGCTTTCTTGTCTGATCATTTTAAACACAAAAATATCTTATTAAATTTAAGGGAAGTGCACTGACTTCTTCCGAGATACTGTTTTGTATATATTTTTGCCAAAATGAACCACAAATGAAACAAAGATGATGACAAATGTGCCTACCGCATTATACTACATTTGTTTAGTCAGTATAAAGCTGCATCCCTCTGCTTTCCATCTTTATGCTAAGCTAAGCTAAACATCTCCAGCCCTTAGCTTTAGAGTTAGCACACTAACAGGAGAGTGACATCAGTCTTCCCATCTAACTATTGGCAACAGAGCAAACAAGGGTGTTTCCCAAAATATTGGACTCTTCCTTTTAACTAAGCTTGTACATAATACCAGTTAATCTTTGTCAAACATCTTCTCCAACTGCCCCTAAATCAGTATTGACACCATCTTGCGTTCTCGAAAGTTGCGGTCCCCCAAACTACTGTCTGCATCAAACCGTAAACTTCTCCATGTGTGCAGCAAAAGGCCCAAAACCGTCAACATGGAGGAGAACATGGACACCAGCCCGACGGGACCCGACTTCTACTCGTCACCCAGCCCGCCAAACAGTCAGGCAAACTGGCGCGACAGAGACGGAGGTGAGTCTTTCCCAGTATCGTTCTCCTTCTAATTTACATGGTTGCACAAACATACAGAGTGCACAGCTCACGGTTGCACAAGAGCATGTGGAGATAATTTGCAGAGGGATGAGAAGATCTTGTGTCCTTGCATGCAAATAGATCTGATCAAAGTGAACACCTAGCATTGTTTTGCAACAGCAGCTGAACTCTCTTAAACTCTCAGCCTTGTCATAACCTACTGTACATCAATGCTGCTCACCGCTCTGAAAATACATACCATGGCAGATATAGCCTTGGGCATCAACAGTCATTATAAATACGTACATTTGTTTGGAGTTGCTGGTTGAATACAAATCTTTGTTCTCTCGCACCTGTCGCTTGTATAAAGGAAGTAGCGTAGAGTGTTGGCTCAACTGCTTTGAAGTGAATTATTATCTGTATGCAACAGCTCCCTGGAATTTCCTTCTAAGTTTGTGTTTTCTTTTTCATAAACCTCATCCGGTTTAGATCTGCAGTGAGTTATGGACAAAAAGCCAATCAGTGGACTTTTGATGATCGAGTTTAATGCACAGAAGGGAAAGAACTCGTAATAAGCGAATGCATGGGGCTCACATTACAAGGAAGTAGATAAAGATGTGTGTTTCCGTCCGAGAGAGAGTGAGATCTTCACAGGGCCGCTTGCACGTCTTATTTCGCCGTCTCCCGGTGCAGAGCAGAGCCCGTCGCCCTTTTAATTAAGGCCTCGCTTTCCCAGGTTTCCAGATCATTCTCACTCTCTGCTGACTTCCTTCAACACTCCGATGCCCACACTTCATCTGGATTTAACCAAGTGAGGCAGTAGTAAACATTTTGTTTGAACGTGATGAACGGTATCATTGAAAGTAAAGCACATCTCTTCCCCCCTGTTGCGGCTTCTAGCTTCGGTCTGAACTTTGAACACTTCTCTTTTGGTTTGCTCAACTATTTTAATATAATAAGTAGGAAGGCTGAGTGGGGAAAAACACCACATGATACACAGGAGGCGCAGCACTGGTGGGATTCAGCCACAGCCCAATGTGGCTGCATGAAATTTCAGCGTGTCCCTGTGCACAAGGCCTGAGAGTATGGCTCTGTGTAAACTTAGACACTTGGGGTGAGGAGAAAGGGAAAGCAGTGGGTAGAAAACTCTCCAAAGACAGCCATTACTCTGTCAAGAGAGAATAAATGAGAAGTGGGGTGATATTAAACCCATATGAGTCATACTAAGTGCCAAGCAATTATTTTGTCCACATGGTTGCCGTTTGACAAAACCTCACCATGTAGTGGAAGAAATAGTTTCTTTCTTGTGTTGTGCTCTGGTTAAAGTACTGTACATTTTCACATTTGTCTCCTTTTTTTGCATTACGGTGTCATATTTACCCCCTTTAATACAAAATATATTGTTTCCAAAGGGCGGCCAATCCGCTCTAACTGCAAGGACACTTTGGACCTTTTTATTTAAACTATTTAAAGTGTTTAACGTCTGTTAATTAATTGTCCAGTTTAATTTCTTGGGACAGTCTCTGAAGCAGTTAATTAGCAGAAGAGAGGAGACGCTGAATACTTCTTCTGGAGAAAATATTTCCCTTTTTTTTTCCTTTTTTTTACTGGAAACATTAGGTAGCGATATAAATCTTCTCCAAGGTATTTCTTCCTCTGACACAAAATGAAAGCACTTAAGCCTGTATCCTCTTGCAACCTCAGACTGGGAAATCCCCCTGAATTCCAGCCACCTTTGTCGCTCTCTCCTCTGGTGATGAGCGATTTTTCCCGTCACTTGGGTGGATCCTTCCCTGTTGTTAGGAAAAGGGAGGGAAGAACGGTTAACGCTACAGAAACGTCTGAACAAATGGGGTTTACACAGCTCCTTTCTTTCTTTCTTTTTTTTTTTGGAGGATGGGGGGGAAGAGATGAATGATGTGAAAGTTATACACCGCAAGAATCTGTGACAGACCAGAAAAGCACTTGATGAATGTTCATAGAAGAAGCACAAGCAGACATAAGCCACTGCCTTTCGGATCTATTTGTTATCACGTTCCCTTCAGACACTGCGTCTTACCATGGAAAATTGAAAACTGCGCAGCCGTGACAGCAGAACATTGCTCACGAAAGTGTAGAGCAGCAATAATGAGCGACTCGTAAGTTGAGTTTGTGCACCTACTTTGACTTCATAGAACTACACGAATTGCCTAAACAAATTCCGTGTCTTGTGCTGAGCCTCCAGGATTATTCATGGGGAATTACGGTGGCTTGTCAAACAGTGTGTGAGGCCAAACAAAGCAGATGTAACACTGTAATATTCTATTTAAGATTACGTGAGGGTCTTGAGATTCCTTAAATCCTATTTGAGCGACCAGCTGCTTTCCGACTGCGTGTCACTTCACTGGATTTAATTGTCTTCTCAGACATGACAGAAGACACATTTTTTATTTCTAGCGGATGTCCGGTGGTTTATGATGATTCCAGAGATTATATGTGATTTTGACCCTTGGGGATGTCTGCAATTTGCAGAGTCCATTTTTCATCTGCGAGTTACATTTGCTGGCGAAAGGGAGGGGGGGGGAAAGAAACGGTCCCCTGATCGCACTAATCCCAAGCAGATCAAATTCTGCTTAATTTCAACTGTAATTCATTTTTGGCATTCAGCTCCTTTCATTCATGAGAAATGGAAGAATTAGTACAAGCTACGGGGAAATCTTTGATTAATTTTCAACAAAAAAAATTAAAAAATCTGCAAAAGAAAATATTTAAAAGTTCATTTTTTTCCCATTAGGGAAGTCTTTTCATGTCAGGGAGGTTGGGAGAAACTTTTTTTTACTTGAGTCCCATGACTGTAACCTGAAAGAAGCTCAACTTTCGAACTTTTGAGCAATAATCAAAAAGGCTCGCTAACGTTTTCTGAGTGCAGATTCATTCACGTGTTCGTGTGCCCTTCCCTACCAGCAGACATGTCCTCTCCTACGATGAAGAAGCCAGAGAAGCCGCTGTTCAGCCCGACCTCTCCGCAGGACTCCTCACCACGACTCAGCACTTTCCCTCAGCCTCATCACCCAGGCCTAACAAGTGTAGGACACAGTGGTGAGTTCCAAATGCTGACTCTCTTCTTTAACGTTTGACTTCATTCCCTGCCTAAACACAGTCAAAGGCTCATACTCTCTCCGCTCCTTTGTCTGCGTGTCTTGCAGTTATATCGGCGAGGAGCCCCCCTCCACACTCGCCGCTGCAGTTCTCGGCCTCGGCTATCTTGCCCCCGACGGCGTCGTCCTACTTCTCGCACCCCACCATCCGCTACCCGCCTCATCTCAACCCTGCTGATTCCCTCAAGAGCTACGTGCCGTCATATGACCCGTCCAGCCCGCAGAGCAGCCAGGTCAGACTTTTTTTGTCTTTTCGTTTTTCCCCCGTGTTTTCAAAAGGCTGTAAGCCAGATCTCCAGCCAGAAGTCGTAGGGTTGTTTGGCACAACTTTCACGCCCTCTAGTCGTTCTTTGTTATATTATTGGGCTCCGTTTCCATCCGACAGATTAAAGATGAGAACGAATGTATGAATTACAGCATTTGTTTGTCTGTATTTCAGCATTACTGCCTCATTAGTGCTTTTTGCATCAGGGAAGATTATTTTTTCCTGCTCTAAATATCTTTATATTACAAACCTCAAACTGCACTTTTTATACACTTAGGATGACTAAATTTGATGGACTCCTGCCTCCCTCCCACTTTTTGAGGGGATAGAATATTGGAAAAAAGACAAAACTACACTTAAAATTAATGAATTTAGTGTAAATCACATGATATCAGTGGAGAAAGTGCTGATTTTTTTTTTGTTGCCACTTCATGTGACAGAAAAAGCATATATATATTCTGCTTGATATAGAGCTCACGCCAAAGGTTATAGCACATTCCCAGCCTTATATTTGCTTTTTGTTTTTTGTTTTTAAATCAACCGCGTGACTCTATTAAAAAATAAAAAATACTGGACAAACTATTGCAATTGCAGTCACACATGACAAACAATACTGCACGGAGACGTGGCAGTAAATCAAATAGCTCTGGGCTTTTCTACATTCAGGGTACACACTGCGGCCAGTGTGTTGGAGAGAGCTAGCAGGCGTCTCTATAGATGAGAGAGCCGTGTGATATTTATGTGAGTTTTATATCCCCGCTGTTCTAACTGTAAACAAAGGCCTCGTAGACGGCTCCATCTCCAGAGCAGGGAGCGGGCTGGAAGTGTGGGGAGGTGGGGAGGAGAGAGGGTTACTCCAGAGAAAAACCGCGGGGAATGATAAAGGTTGTAAATATTTGCCGTTGCCGGGGCCCGGCTCTTGTGCAGAATTAACTGGCCCTCTGCTGGGGTGCTGGAAAGTTGGGGGGGGTGACTTGGCTAGCGAGGTGGGCTCCGGTAGGGAAGAGAGAGCGCAAGAAGACTGAGGTGAGGGGGGTAGCGAAGGTTGGGGGGGCACAGCAAATAACACAGCGCTTATAATCCCATGGACGAGTGCCAGAATGTTTTTATGCTTGCTTTAACGCAGATTATATTACACTCTAATTAAACATTCTATTCACATGGAAGGGAACCCTGCGGACACAATTCTTTTCCAAAAAGGCCTGTTTGAGTTTTGAACTTGGGGCGGCCCCGAAATGAACGCCCCAGACAGTCTCCAGCCGTCTGAAAGAGTAGCTCCCACTAGCTTCCTTTATTTCCTTCTCCATATATATAGTCCCACTGCTTTTCTTTCTATACTGGCACATTCACGCCATTGTAACAGGTCACTCCACAGCTCTCTCTCCGTCTTTTCATGCCCGGGTCCCCCTAAATTCCATTTATGAGCGCCATTAAAATCATTGTTTAGAATCATGTAGGAATTACATTGTCATTGACTGAAGATCTATTGTTGCTCATGCCCCCCAGAGTTTTGGTAATAACTGTGACAGGACAGCGGCTGAAAGTACTAAAATCCTTTCTTCAGGCGGAGCATTAAGTGTGAGAGTCAGTGGTCCAGCAATCTTTTGTTGTTAAGTGTAAGTTTCTCAGGGCAAACCGAGGCGGTTACGTCCCGTCCCGTCCCCCCCTCCCCCGAAAAGGAGGGAAATGACGCCGTGATAGGATGTTCAGCCTCTTTAGTGTTCAGTTTGTTGCATGCTTGTCTTGGTTTATTGAGATCTACCCCTCTGCAGATTAACAAGGGAGCAAACGCTTGTAAACTCAAGTCACTGGACACAGTCTGTCGTTTTATAAGGTGACACGTTTTTGGTGGCGGGCAAAGCAAATGCGGTTCTTACATGTGGATGTTTAGGGGGGAAAACAGATTTTCTTTGCTTTTTGTGTTAATTCAGATGCATTATTTCAGTATGATCCTGGTTTCTATTACTCCTACTGAATTATGTTTCAAATAAAAGAGAAGTGAAAGATTTTAGGTGGTGTTTTTACAAGAACATGCAGCTCGTGTTTGCTGTGACACTTATTTCAGGTCTTAAAAAAAATAAAGTGCATAATTGTGTTGTTGTTGTGTGTTTTTTTTATATCATCTGTACCCCACCTGCAGCCTAACAGCAGTGGTCAGGTTGTTGGAAAGGTCCCAGGCCACTTCACCCCAGTTTTGGCTCCCTCCCCACACCACGGCGCTGTGCGACCTGTCTCGCTTTCCATGCCAGACACCAAGCCCATCACCACATCAACAGAAGGTGAGCTCCAGTACCTGCTGCCCACTACTGACACACAGTACCTACAGTACAGCAAATACAGCACTTCCTCACAGTGTAGTAGCTCACGCTAGAAACACACTGGATTGTGTTTTTTAATGTAGTGTATAGTCTGTGCTCTAAATTTGCATCTTTTCAATTTGCATCGCACTTAAGGTGGAAAGTCATTTCTAAGGGCAGCACTGATCTAATTATTTCTATTAGAATAAAATAACCCTTGAAGAGTAAGTGAACATGAGAGTGACACAAAGCTAGTTAGCAGTTTGTCTGTTTCAATCACTCAGTATCAGTATTCTGGTAACCATGCCAACTGGATGGCCGGGAGTATGCTTGTCAGTGCAGCCAGGTGAGACCATAAACCACTAGTGGGGGACAAAAAGATTTTAGGCTGTGTCTGACAGTAGAAGCAAACGATAAAAAGAATCAGAGTGGTCCCAGCATGGAATCTTGCGGAACCCCTGCAGGCAGTTTTCACTATATGTTTATAGTTTAGAGTATCAGTGGAATTTAACAATGTTACTATGGTTACAGCAGTCAATTCCATGTAAATTCCCGACATCCAAATTTGAATCCAGACACTTATTCCTGTTTTTGTTTTGTTTTTTTGTGATGCTATGCTACCCAGGCTACTCATCGCCTGGCACGCCAACAGCTAATCGTTTTGTGAGCCTAAACCCTAGAGATCCCACCTTCCTGCACCAGCAACAGGTGAGGTTTCACCCCCTTCAGCACTCAGCTCACCTGTTCATCTTATCCTTTCACCCCTTCCCACGTCTCCACCCATTTTATCAAATCCCTGCTCTCTACAAAATCCAGAAACACACTGCTACTGACTTCTAGGGAGCAGTAAATGATCCCTTTAGATTAGAGCACTTCAGAAGTTCAGATTAAACGACAGATAAATTGAGGTCAACCGTAGCCGTGGATGCTGGCATAAAAAATTAGCAATGCTTTCTTTTATTTATTTATTTGTTTGTTTGTTTGTTCAAACCACAATTGAACCTTTGATATGCAAGCATAATATTTTCACTTTGGAATTGAGAAGCTTAAATTAACAGCTTAAATTATGCCCATTTTAAACTATCATTTTGAGTGAGTGTGCTTGAATTTAAATTCCACACTTGAGGAAAAAGAGACCTTAAGAAAGGTGAAGGGTCATTGCCATTAGAAGCTGGATGGTACACATGGATGCTTTTGAGAGTGAAATGTGTTTTTGTTTCCTCTACACGTACTTTAGAAGCTCTCACACGCATACCACACGTAGTCAGCACACTCATTTACCTCATTTACCGTACACGTGCTAAATATGTAGCGTTGGCGTCGGGTGGTTGCCTCAGGACTGGCTACAGGATGTCCTGGGATAGATGTGTGTGTCTCTCTGTTTGTGGGGGTGTGCGTATGTGCGAGGTTAGAACTGTTGCGGTGTTGTCGGACGAGAGAGGGAGAGTGCTCTCCCCTACCCAGTCTTATTGAAAGCGCTGTTCTGAGCCAAGGCTTTTCCAACCACAACTAATTGAATGCATCTGCACACAGCTACATAATGATCGCTGGGTTTCTCCTCAGCTCACTTTTTTTATGTTTAGCTTAAAAAAAAAAGACAAAGCTGGCCTCTGTTTCCTCACTTCTCTTTCTGTCTTTCCTTTTCTCTCTGCCTTTTTCACTTGAATTTCCTAAAATCAGGGCAAAAAACCCCAAAAAAAACACAGGGGGGAATATTTGTCAGCAGTCGTGGGATGCTTTTATCCCACTCGGGAGGAGAGGGAGGAGGAGAGGGAGGATTCACTTGGCTGATGTCGCACAGTTTGTCTTCCACATTTCTAGTAGCCCTGCTACTTCTTTCAGTGGGGCACAAAGTGACTACACAAGACATCGGCAGTCTGAGAGTAGCTGCATGAACTGCTGAATTTTGTCCAAACCGTGGCTCCCCGAGGCTACAAAGCCTTTCTGTTTCAGATTTTGAAATCAGCCAGATATATAAAGATCCCCTCAGTAAGGACTGTTGGCACTTAAAATAAAGAAATATAGTCAAAGATTTAATTACTAGTTTTATTAGTTAATGACAGTTATGTTTTGGTGGCATAATTCTGTGATTTTATTGCACTGACAAGTCAAAAGATGAATTATTTTGGGCCTTACATATTCCCTTAGATTTGGTTTGGGAAGCATTTTATCAAAAAGACAGTAGCTTAGAAATGTAGAAGAATGAGAGCCTTGTAAGCATAACAATGATACCTTTCTGAAAGGTTACATGCTATATCGCCAAGAATAAATGTTTGTGTCGGCTTAAGGAAGTCTAAACAGTCCTCGCATTGATTCATCATGCTTCTGCTTGTCGCAGTTGTTTTTGTTTTCTGTGGTATGATTTAGCGGCCTAGGATCTGGCCCCGTGGAGCGGAGAGAGACACCGAGCCAAGTCCCTCAGGACTAAACACTTTCACCGAATGCTCAGTCATTGTCCTCATCTGGCAATGATGCGTATTGTGTGGGGGGTCCATAAGACTTTACTGACGATGTCAGTTGTTTGGTTGAAGCCGTTTCTGGCTAGGCTCGGTAGAAACGAGGACGAGAAGGAACGGGAAAGAGACAGTCAAGGTTTTTAAATGCAGTCAGCCTTGTGTCTGGACCGTGGAGGTTCAGTCTCTGTCTGTATGTGTGATTGATAGAGGCCGTGACTTCCATTGAATCTGTTTCGCATTTCCTTGCCGCTGCCAGAGATATTAAATAAAATAAACCAAAAGCAGAGGGCTCTGATGGAACGACAGTTTTTGGAATACCCAAGTTTCCTGATCATCACCGAATTCCGAATTATTGTTAAATTTATATCTCATTGCTATAAAAAAGCATGTCTCCTGTGATAACTTGCTAATAAATTTTTAAAAAAAAAATCTACTTCTCACCTCATACCTATTTTAAAATGTCGCACCACCGAAATAGAGATCCTCGGACACAGACACACTAATACTAGGCTTCAAAATGAAAACACAAAACAAACCACCACCACCACACGCTCTCACACCTGCTCTACGATTCCCAGGCAATGAATGTGTGAAAACCCTCCATTCATCTCTCGCCTTGGTTAACCCCTCGAGGGAATGCCACCATCTAGCATTCCGCAGGGAAAGATCCGTGATCAGATGTCATTTGGTATTATCTAAGGAAGGATTCTAATCCACAATCTGCCCGCATCTGTTTGCTAACGTTCCCCGGCTCCTTCCCCTTTTTTCCCCGCTGCCCGTGCGACTCTGATGTGTCGGTGCCAGCGGACAGATGGCGAGCCCCTCGAGGAGCGGTGGCACCGAGCGTCTGGCCCAACCCGCGCATTCTCTCCAAGCTTTTGTCAGGCTGGAGAGTGCGGGAACAGCGTGGGGGTTTGGTCTCCCAGCATTTGATAAATACTGAGAAAACACACTGAATGAAACAAGTTTGCGTTGTTTCCTATTCAGTTTTATTAATCAGCCGCTCAAAGCAATTCATCAAGTGAAACCGATACATTAAATTGAAGCCAAATGACTGTTATTGCGTCACCGTTGCTTAAAATGAATTCCCTTCGCTGGTTGTTTCTTGCCATTACTTCACATTTGTTCCAGGAAAGATGAAGGAACACAACGCAAACATCCCTCAATTTAAGTATGGCTTAAGTAGGAAACCATCAGCCCCCACCCCACCCCTCCCTCCCGATGTGTTCATCCAGGTGCTCAGAGAAAAAAGAACACATTTCTTGACCGTTGCAAATGGCTCTGAATATTCAGCGTATGCGTATATCTGATTAAATCCCTCTTAAGAGCCTCTGCAAAACGTCTGCCACTGCACGAGGAGTGCTAACAGTGCAGTTTTATCCCGATGCATTACTAAATGAATGTGTTGACCACAGGGCAAGGTTAGGTTGGTATTGGCAGAGATAGCTCTCAGCTGGATTGCCGACACGTGCGCTCGCATAATGCATGCAAAGGAGACACAGTTTGTGCGTGGCTTTTTTTTGTTGCAGTAATTTGTAATCTGTATGTCAGGTTGGCATGTCTTAAAACAGGGGAGAAGGGGTTAGTGTGCGCGTTGGCGCGTGCGTGTATTTGTGTGTGTGTGTGTGTGTGTGTGTGGGCGAGTGCTGTAACTTCATTGTAATTGCGACCCTTAATCAATAAAAACAGTTAGCTAATGAAAAAAGTCTGCATGCTTGAGGGCATGCGTCCTGAATCTGAAAGTGCACTTAGACTGAAGCAATCATTATGGACAGGGTGCATGCATCCAGTGGATTGCATGGCTTCATTGGTTTACCAGGTAAAATGAAATAAATAAATAAACAAGATAAAACAGTAGAGACTGCTCACAGATGAACTTCCTGTATGATGCCACTCACATTTTCTAACTAACTAACTTCGTTTTGTTTTTTGTTTTGCTTCCAGGTTAGCTGTTTCCACTAACTGTAATGCATGCTTTTTATTTTCTGTCTGTTTCACCTGTAGCTGTTATTTTATCTCAATAAGTATTAAAAACACTGACTCAGTTTTCATTCTTAGGATTCATTTTGGAGCCTTTTTTTAAAAAAAAAATCTATTTTTTATTTCCCGTGCTCCTGTCCTAGGCTCTTTTGCATGCATGTGTGTATACAGTGTTGAGTTGTAGTGTAATCTGAAGTGGAAGTTGTCTTGGCCCAGTGATCTGACTGCTAGGTTTCAATTGACAGCTGAGGAAGTGTGACTGGAGCGTGACTCAAAACGGCAGGCATTATGGCCCCAGTGCCACTGACGACACTTTGGGGATTACTTGGCAAAGGTAACCTTTTCATTCTTTCATGCCGTCTCTCTCTGTCTCTCTTTCAGCACATGCACAAACACACAACATATAAGCATTGAAATGAGTAACTCAGTATAATGTATGATTTCCTTGATTGTCTCCTCTTTACGTTCACATATAAACACAATTACGGGGCCAGTAGCCATGGCTGTTATTGCTGCAGATGTTGACCTTTTTCGAGATGAGGTCATGCCTTTGATAAAACACACGTTTCCTTGTGTCTCCCTCATGTTTTCTTTCCCCCGCCCCCTTTCTGTTGCTTCATCTCCTTTTCCATGCCTTAATAGTTTTATACATTTCCCAGTAACTTCTTCTTGTTTTGCACTTGAGAATTCGATTAGCAGCGGAGTCCCTTCATTCTGTTTTCCCCAGAACCGACTTTTGTAAATGCACACGAACACAAACCACGAGAGGAGAAGGTCATAATTTTCTTTTCATATCTGTTGGAAAGCGATAAATACAAATACCAATATTATATTTCGCTGCATAACGACAACTCTTGCAGTGTGATTCAGCTTTTGAAATAAAGCCTTTCTTCCTCTTGGATTCATTCTTAATAAAAACAACAAAATAATGCTTTGATGTAACTAATTTGACAAAGCATGTGGAAAATTTAAAAAAGGAAGTCATTTCAGGTCAGATTGTTAGCCATGTGCGGTTAAGTTGCTCGCTGTATTTAAACAAGCTTAGCTTTGTTTAACTTTGTGCTCAAGTAATGCTTTACTCTCTGTAACTTAAAGTTACAGACCCCCCACCTTCCACACACACACACACACACACACACACACACACACACACACACACACACACACACACACACACACACCCCTCCTCCCTCGCTTCCATACTGTATCTCTCCCTCTCTGGGGGAAAACCTGAACCATTTCACCATGCTAGAGCGAGCAAGCTGAGCTAAGCCTTTTCCTGTTACGTCTCCCCTTTCCCCTTTTCCCTGGATATGTACAGTGTGTGTGGGTGTGTGTGTGAGTGTGTGTGTGTGTGGGTGTACAGGTCATTTTGCGCTCGCTGAAGTTACAAATGTTTTTACAAACACAAACGCACACAGCAGAACCCCCTTCGAAAGGCCTCCTAATGGGCCAGTAGAGATAGCAGAGAAAAATGTCCCCCGCTGCAAGCCTGAGGTCTCTTTTTCCACTCACACTCCAGCTCACTCCTCCTCCTTTCGCCATGTGACTCGTACAGTAATAAGAAAAGATAGAATAGATCCCGACTGGATTCAGTTTAGTTATTGCGAGGATGGGGACGGTAATTCTATTACACTTTTTTTTTTCCTCTTCGATGGATTATTTACGCCCAATCGTTCAACATACAGATGAGATCAGTTTGATTTCTCCTTTATCTTGCTCGCCCCTTTAAATGGGGCGCTTCGCTAGGCCTCTTCAGTACTAGCCCTCAAATTAAAAAGCTGCCAGACTCGCATGTTGCTATTGTGCAGGAAATGGGTCAGCAATCCATTAAGATGCCATTAGATAATCTAATTTAGGGAGCTAATCCTTAAACGAAGCACGCTGTATGGCCAGGCTGTGCTCGCGGGGAGTAGAATTAGTGAGGTTTGGGAGCCGGACAGGGCAGGGGGAGGCCATCTTGAAGGTTACCTAAGGAAACGCGGCGATGGAGGTCAGGTCTTTTAGCCGTGCTCAGAGCTGCTTGTGTGGAGACAAAATCTAGAGGAGCTGCACTGATGCAGGTTAAGATTGCAACAACAACAAATAGCTTCAAATAAAATGTTTGTCTTTATGTTATGTCTTTTTAATTATTTAAAAGCTACAGGGGACAAAATACCTGAACATCTAACTTCCTGTGAATGGGGCCCTTAGTTCCTGCACAAGTTCAGTCATACTAATGAGGCAACTGATCCCCACACACACACACACACACACACACACACACACACACACACACACACACACACACCCCCTAATGCATGCACAGACACTGATGCAGAGAGTTATTCTGTACTGTAAAACAAAAAACCTGCTTATAGGATGCAGGTGCGGACAGGCAGCCAGTTTAAAACTGATCTGTGCAAAAAAAAAAGTGCATTTTTGTAGCTGTTTGACCCCCCGCACACACCTACTCAACAATGTAAGTCATTACCTGAGAGGCGTTTCATAAGAAAAGCGAAACATTGCGAGATAAAAGAAGGGAAGGAAGGAAGAAAGAAAAGGAGAGCGCTGCAGTCCTTGGCCGCTCTGTGCGCTCTTTGTTCAGAAAGGTAGGAAAAACTTAATCCCCCGTTTCCTGTCCGATGATTTTTGGCAGAGTGAAAGAGAGAAGGAGGGAGGGAAGAGGATAGAACGAGGACGGGCTGGACGGTAAAAAAAAACTGCTAGAGAGGATTAGCCTTGAAGTCTTTTTTTAACACTTTGCGCACTGAAACGCAACCTAAAACTTGAGTGATGTTTGCTTTTGTTTTGAATGCGTCTCCTCGGCTCTTGTGTTTTCTGTCTTTCACTCTTTATTAGCGAGTCGGGCCTCTCGGGCCGTGAGGTGAATTGAATTTGCACTTCCATTGTTTTAAGTAAAAGAGCGGTGACTAGTGATTTGTAAAAAATGCAGACTGGTTGATGAGTTGCTTTTATGAGCCCAGACAGTGTTGTTCTAATACTGAAGTTTCACAAAGAGTCGAGTCTCTGCACAGGAGCATCATCAGACTCGAGGCTTGTCTTGTGTTTTGTTTCATGTGAAGAAAACCCCCAAAAAACAAAACCTCCTTGTCCTCTTTTCCCATCTAAGCCTGCTTTCCTTTTTTCTGCATTTTCCCTTCACTCCTGCGTTCCTCACTTTTATCTGTTTCCTGCTCTTTTTTCCATCCATCACGTTTCAGCTGCTGCAACAGCGTGCTGATGCTTCGTATGCGTGCATCGGTTATTGGTGAAAAGTGTAACACAGGTATTTTCATACTTAGCGGGAGTGATACGAGAGGTGGGAGGGGGTTAGATGAGTGCACACTGGGGCCCTGCGGGGAAGAAAAGAGCAAGGGGGGGCTAATTATCTGACATCTACGTTGCGCAGCACCCCTCGGGAACAACATGCTGTTTGTTCCCGCTCGCGTTTTCAGTTAGCACCGTTGCTCCCCAGGAACAATCACTGTGTTGTTTTGCCATTAGCGTGAGATGAATAGGGATGGAACAGCTTTGTGTAGGGACCCCCACACTTTTTACCCACAACCACTCCTCCTTCACCGCCGCTACCAATCGCGCTCCTCCTCCCCCCCATCGCGCTTTTCTCCACCGCCGTTAATGCACAGAAGAGCGGCTGCGTCACGGCCCTCTCACACGATGTCCTTCACTGGGAATCAAGTGGGATCCCCTCAGCTTAGTTTAACGAGCTTTTTTTTTGTTTATCTGCGTTTGAACAAACCAACAGCGAGACCACGAACCTCAATGACAGCAGAGCTGGTCATTAGCGAAGCAGCGTTCAGGATAACTGGGTGAAAGAATCTGATTTTGACTGCAAACGGCACAGGAGTAATCTCTTTGTCTCTCTCTCTGTCTCTCTGTCTCCACAGTCCTGGTACCTGGGCGAGCTTAGTTCCATTCCAAGTGTCGAACGGGACTCCGATTCTGCCAACAAATGTCCACCAGAACTACAGCATAAACATCATTGGTGAGCCCCTGGTCCCCGCCGAGACAGGGAACTGATCACACAGAGGCCGGATGACCCCCAGGGTGGATAGATGGGTGGTAGTGCGGAGCTAGCACTACAGGTGTCCACAGCCATGGATGAAACCAGCAAAGCAGCAAGCGCTGCATAACCCTCTCTACTATCCCCCCCCAACCCTCATCCCAGCCCCTCCTTGTTCCCTCCCCACTCCCGTCCCTCCCGATGATGGACACTGGCCCTGAAGTGAAGATGAGGGTTCGTTCAGAGGAAAGAAGAAGAAAAAAAAACAAAAAACCAAGAAGCTTCAGGTCTGCTGTCTCCTCACCCCGGCCCACACACACACACACAAACACACACACCTACCACCCACCAGTCAGTTGTTGTGTGTTGCAGAACTTTGCAATCCATTCAGATACTGTGATGTATAGATGCCTTAATGTTTTATTGCATGACACTCTAGTCTCTTAGCGGCGATTCCTATTATTTTTCCATGTTGGAGGAAGATGTAAAATCTAGATTTACAAACACACCCACACACACACGCATAAGTGAGGGGGTCTGCATATTTGACAACCTCTGCCTGGTGGATGGCTCAGAGACTCTAAGCTCTCCAACTGAGACCTCTTGAGAAGAGGCTTTCCCGCATCAAACGATTCACTGTGTGCACCATAGGAACAAAAACTTGTGAATTCAGAGTGTTTCTTCTTCCATTTGATTTCAGTTTACTGTGATACGACTCTTTGTTCAGAAAAATGTGTTGACTTTGTTTATTCTTTACTGCTACTTACTTCATGAATTAATGTAAACACTTAGGCCCCTTTCAGACATGGCTTCACGGGTTTGTCAAAGCGATTAAGACACCGGTAACTCTTACGTGAACGCTCCTCACGGCAGCGCCGCAGACAGCCTCGGTATGTGCAAAAGGCTTGCTGCATTTGTGGCCGCAAGATGTGCCCGGCGATATTTAATTCTCCTCGCCGCCACAGACCCTGTTCACAGGAGACATTTCCACATGACAGGATGATGGCTCAGTTTTCATTAAGTGTCCCAGTAAGTCATGGCAAGCTGGTCAGTGAGCAAGCAAACGCAACAGCAGGACTTCCCCGACCTTTTTACTTGGTCTGAGCCAGCAGCATCTCTGAGATGGGCACAGGATGTTCTTCAGTGGCAACGCTGGACGCCAAAAGCAAACCCTCCTGGCTGAAAGGGCAACAAAGTCTGCACAAGTTAGGATGGGTGCTGGTGGGGTAAACTGCCATCATCTGGAGCGTCATCCAACATCCAGACAGATAGCAGTTCCTGTCCTGTGGGACACGTTTTGGCTAAAAACCGCACCAGTTCACAGCTTTCCAATTGAAAAGTGATGGTTAAGAGGTTACCTAGAGCGTTAAGTGGTGACACCAGTGGGTCGTCACAGAACATCTGCATGTTGCACCCTTTCCTGCTTTGATATGTTAAAATATCTGCTGTGAAAACAGTGAAAACGCCCTCTTCTGTACGGTAAACTTGTGCATGCCTGTCCGTCAGTACGACTGAGACCTGCGCCGTGTCGAAAGCTGCCCGTAAATGTTAAGATGCTGTCAGATTAATGGAGAGCAGTGCATGTCTGAAAGGGGCTTTATGGGTAAAGGTTGAGAACTCTAAATGCAGTTTTCAAAACAACACTAAATGCTAGGCTTGAGATTGGACCCCTCACGAAAGAATTAGCATCTCCTTTAAAAAAAGGAATATAAAAAAAAAAAAAATGCGACAGAGGCAAGTGCAATTGAATTTTTGAAGGGAAGCTATCAGTCTGTCAGCCCTAAGACTCTAAAGGAAGGGGGATAAATATGAAATGTTTTATGGGTAAAATGTTTGAGAAACATCTGAATTTGATTTCAGTCACGATATCCGTCTCCTCGCGTGGAAAAAAGTAAAAAAAAATTAAGTAAAAACATTAAGTAGGAAAGGCAGTTGAAGGCGAGCATTAAAGCTACCTGTGCAGCGCTGAGCAAAACCAGCACTTATTTTGAGCCCTTCCCATCATTATGGGGAGATTTTTTTTTTAATTTATTTCAGAAAAATCGTAAGTAACGAAAACGAGATGCACATAGTGCGCATAAATGTTCACGATGAGATCAAGAGCATACGCATTTGGCCAACAGCTTCTAAAGCTTATGTTTACGAAAATAAGAAGTGTTAATTCATGGGAAAATTTGTATTATTCATGCAAATGTAGCGTGGGCTTATGGGTAAAGCTACAGTTTGTGCAAGGTTAACTCTAAAGTGGAAGAGGTTGAAAGCTGAAATTCCGAATCCAGGTGGTGGCAAATCCCCGAAATCAAGAATTGCGCGTGGCGTGTTCACGGCCATTGCCTCTCCAGTCCAGACATATTTATATACAAGGAAAAAAAAAATCTCTCCAGTACTCTTAATTTGCACGATGACATATAGTCCACATTACGTGCCTTGCCTTTGAATATAGAGACATCACTACACTTGTTTTTTGCTGCATTTATCATTATAGAAAAAAAAAATTAACATTTTTATGATAAGAATTGTTTTGTACTCTGAATGAAATTGTTGATTTTTAACTTCATGTACTACTCTATGTCACAGTTACATTGCATATCAAGGCTGTGTATAGTTGCCGTTTTAAAGTTTGTAATCAACCAGCATTTTTTTTGTTTGTTTGTTTGTTTGTTTGTTTTCAGTATTTTGGTGGTTTTTCTAATAACCTGTCATCTTTTGTTTTCCTTTTTTTTTTTTTTTTTTCTCAATGCTCATTTTGTTCATCTTCCAGTTACTATTGCGGAGGGTGGAATTCAGAATTATGAAAATTATGCAATACCAAGTTTTGCCTATGTAGGTAGTGCTTATAGATGCGTCAATTATTAGAGGCTAGTTTGGAGATAGATAATATTGTAATGCATTTATTTTGTTGATATCGTTGTTTGTCGTTGTTGTTGTTGATGATGTTGTTGTTGTTGTTGTTGTTGTGGGTGTTTTTTTCTTTTCCTTTTTTATCGACCAAAGTGGGGACTGCTTTCTATGCAGTGTGAGACAAGGTCTTTTTTTTCTCCTTTTTTTCTTTCTTTAGCTTGTAGGCCTACCGAATGACGGTGAGACAAGTTCCCGTGTATTATGAATTTGGGAGGTTTGGGAGGAGGGGTGGTATTTTTCTAGAAATACTTATCTTAAAATGATGCACCCTTGGGCTTGCTGCGGCTGCAAAGTCACTGATTGGTCTACTGTGACTCTTACTTTCAACTTTCCACCTGGGGTGCTAGCGTGTGACCTTGAAGGAGCTCTTCTTTCTTCTTCTTCCACTGGAGAGACAGCTTGACTTGAGCGCGACAATCATTTGAAGAAATCATTTTTGCGTAGAATCCCGTTCTGTCTCAGCTCCCCGAGAGCCGCAGCCGATAGCGTCGCGCGCGTTTTTCCAAATCTTTACGCCGTGCTATTCTAGATGTCGCCTAATGCAATTCCCAAGTAGATGCCTTAAACACATCAGTGAAGTGGCCTGTGACTGCGCAACAATCACACACCGACTAATGCTAGTGAGACCTGTTGAAATCAGTTCCAGACAGGCTCAAGCAAGCCTTTAGAAAGTATTTTATAAGTAGTAGATTTGTATAAATGTATATACGATATGCACATATGTCAATTCCTGAGACGCTTCCCTAGCAGAAGCCCCGTAGAGTATGTTAAAGGAAATATTGGACTGCAGGAGTGTGGTGTCTTCTAACTTCCTGTCCAAATGCCCCCAGTAGAAGCTTAAATAGAATCCACTAGGAGAAAAAAATCTAGCACTTAAATAGCACATAGGCAATCATCTCCCCCACCCCCCCATCCTCGTCCTACAGTGTTCAGAAGTCAAACTAAACCTCTCAGGCGTATTACAGGGCATTATTTATATCAATCGATACCTTGCCATTTTTATTGTAAAAAAAATTTCTCGCAGAAAGCTGCAGCGCAGCCAGTGCTGCTATGACACCTTTTGCACTCTTTCCCTGCAATCGTGAAAGAAACGTTTTCCTTCGGAGAGTTCCCCCGAGAGCTCTCCGGCGCCAGCAGAGGGCTAAGGAGCAGAAATCGTTGTTAAAAAGTAATCCTCAAGTCAAGCTCAATCTCTCCGTCTTCACCCAGATTTCTCACGCAGAAAGAAAATGTTTGGAAAAAAACAAAACGAAAAAAGTCACCCCGTTGTAAGTGCACTGTTTGTTTGTTTTTTCTTGGTTGCTTTTTTTTTCTTTTAAAAGGAAAAAAACTATAAGTGCTTTGCAGCCTTTGGCCATTGGAGACCCCACTGAAGTGCATTGTCCCCAAGTGTGTGTGTGTGTGTGTGTGTGTTTGTGTGCGCAACTTAAAAGTGTGTCAGGGTCACTGTGCTGTTGTGCTGGTGTCTGTTTGAAGAGGAGACTGTACATAATGGTAAATATCCTGACTGCGTCGATAGCTGCGGTCTGCGAGGCTGAACTCTGCTTTGGCAGCTTGAGCGTGCATGCAAGTGCGTGCAAGTGCGTACGCGGTTAAATTTCCGAGCTGGATGTATGATCGAGTGCCTCCGACACTACACAGCGATAGAAGATGAGGGTCTTTCTGTCGAGGAAAAGAAAAAGCCTGCCGTAGGACAGGAGTTTGTACACTGTAAACTTTCGGGGGAGTTCTTCTTTGAAGCCCACATTTGTAAATGTTCATTTCTGGGGAAAATGAGTCAATTCCATTTTAGGAAAAAAAGAAAAAACAAACAAAAAAATGTTTTTTTAAATTTGGATTTGTTTGTTTCAGAGACTGGATTTGAGTTAGAACTCTCCAGGTTTCTCTGATTAGTGTTTTCATCAGGTGTTCCTTTATGTAAAGATAAAAGAGGGGGGGTCGGGGAGGGAGTGTGTATTCTGTACTGATCCATAAATATTAAGAAACAACAACATTGAAGGCTTTTTTTATTCTTATTAATATTATTTCTGAACTTGGTTAGTGCTTAGATATTTCCACTTGGGAAAGACTTCATGAATATTTGAATTGTTGTTCTTTCAGTAGTGTGGCCATAGAGCGTGTGATGTGATTTATCTCGAGGGTTGGTTTTTTTTTTCTCTTTTCTTTGGAAATGGGTGTGAATTCTTGTCCAACAAGATTGTGGTGTGAGTGTGTTTCTTGTAGCAGCTGGGAAGTAAACCTGTAAGGCAAAGGCCCCAGTTTGCACCTGACCTTAAGTGAGAAGCAGGGTAAAATCTGCAGTGACAAACGTCCTTGATGAATCTGTCGGATTTTATTTTTTTCCTTTTTCTTCTTGTTCTTAAAAAAAAAGAATCACAATTGTCGCAACGTGATTGGTGCTGCATCTCACCGTATATCTGGCAAGTTTGGAGCCGTGCGCGTCGTTCGCATGCAGGCGATGTTGTTTTAAGAATTTCCTAAAAGAAAGCATCCACTCATTTTGCACTTTTGTCATTTCACACGTTGTCAAAACCTGATGTACTATAGGAAACCCTCCATTCACACTACAAACAAATACTACATGCTTTTCAGGTGCTTCAGATTAGGGTACTGTACCTTCCAGCTGAGCTAGTGTTTTCGGGTTTAAAAAATCAGTGTTCAACCCATCAGCAGCTTCAAGAGCCCCCATTCAGAGCAAATACTGAGACTGGAAAGTATTATTACACTGATCGCTGCGATCGCAGAGAAACAGGACGACTTTATGCAAGGAGGACCTGTGGCACTCATGCAATATGTGAGATTGTTCCTTTTTAACTGAATGTCACACATTCTGTAGGGACTGAGAGGCTTGTACACATGCAGACTTAAGAGAAAACTTCATTTTCATCCTACATGAGCAATATACATCTTCCATACTTTGGCTAGCTGCTAGTCACTTGGCATCAGGTTGTTATGAAACATGAAAAACCAGCATTTTTACAGGATGTAACATTCACCAAAAGGAGACTAAAAGATAGCAATGCAGTGCCTGTTCAAGCTGTCCAAGTGTCTGTTGTATACAATATGTAGAATGTGATAGACTTAACTTTCCTACATGGCGAGAAGAAAACGGCGTCACACCGAGCAGAATGTGGCAAACGCATCTGAAAATATGCTTTTTTTTTTTGTGATTTATTCATTTTCGAATTACGTCAGCACACGATGCCCACGTCGGATTTGTTAAAAAAATAATAATAATAGGAAATTCTTTTTTCTTTTTCATTTTTTTTTTTCAGGGAGGGAGGGGGAGTTGGGCGGGAGGGTCAGTGCTACATGAAGCGCAATGATGGAATTTCTTTAGTCACCATTTTTCTCTGCAGGGCTGATTTCTTTTTGGGTCTTGTGGCACTTTTACTTCCCGCTGCGCACACATTTCTATTTTAGGAATCACGGTGGAATCTATATATATATAAATATATAAAAAGAACAACAACAACAACACCAACAAAACAATATGTAAACAGTCTCCAGTAGTGATCGTAGTTACACTGCAAGTGTGTGCAAAGGTCTATGTATGTATCTGAATGTACGTTTTAGAGGACTTTTGGAAAACCTTTTTTTTTGGTTTTGTTTTTTTTGTTCTTTTCATCTTTTCATTTACAGTTTAGGAGCCACAGGTGTCCATTGTGAACTGTATAGCAAAGGCCTTGATATCCCTTCTTTTATTGATTTTTATCAACGCCACCCAATAGGCGATGCCTTCAAGCTAGTTACATTTGGTGCAGGGGCTAAAATTGCCACAAGATTAAAATCAGTGTAAATAAGGCTCAACTTTTTGTGATTGTTACTGTTATATCCAGCCTATACTGCTAGCAGCTGTTTTTACTGCAGTCAATTACTGGAAGTGGATATATTTCCTATGCAAAACTGTTTAAACAATAAAATGAGCTATGCTACAAAAATGACTTCATTACTGTGGCTCTTTCTTGTGTTTATTTATTGCATTTGGTCTTTGCTGATTGTGAATGATTGCAATTTGGCACATAAAAGTCCCAGTTCGATATCTGGTGACATTAACTGATGAACAAGTAAAGTGACACAGCTGATGTCTGTATTGAAGACAGCTGGCCGCAAAGCCACCTTAAATTTAAAGGTGGCTTTGCATGTCACACAGTTCAAGCCAATGGTTTCTTTATTCACATTTAGACCTGCGTGCTCGAGAGGAAACTGAGTTTTTGCCTTACAGCTATTCTTTGTATATATGCTCACCTTGTTATCTGAAACTTTGGCCATGTTTAATAAGAGCATCTACTCTCACTGCCCTTTTTATTAGGAATACCTGTTCAACTCCTCATTAAGACAAATATCTCATCAGCCAATCAAATGGCAGCAACTCAATGCATTTAAGAACATGGTCAAGAAGAGCTTTTGAAGGTCAAACCAAGCATCAGAATGGGGAAGAAAAGATCATTTAGATGAGCTGCTTTTAGTATTTCAGAAACTGCTGATCTGCTGGGATTTTCCCACATTTTTCCCACTCTAGGGTTTGGAAATAATGGTCCAAAAACAGAAAATACCCAGTGGTAGGGTAAAAACATGCCTTATTGATGCTTGAGGAGACTGGTCAGACTACTGCAAGCTCATAGGAAGACAGCAGTAAGTCGATTGTTACAACTTAGGTTGCAACTATTAGGTTAGGCACCTTTAAGATGTGGTCAAATGGGAGATTCTCATCATGGATATCGAGCCAATAAATCTGCAGCAACGGTGGGATTCTGTACACCTACACTTCATGTAGGCACACCTAATGAAGTGAGTGTATGAGTGAAGCTAGGTAAAAGAAGACAATTAACATTATGAGTTCTTTACCTAATTAAGACAGGGCTACACAATGTGAGTGTGTAAAAAGATTTCAGAATACCCACACACATGTGCATCGGTGAGGTGTTTTTGGAACAATACATCAATAGAAGTATTTGCAAAATGCCATCAGCTCAGTGAGGGCACTGACCATTTCATTATGGATAATGTTTGTCATTTAGTGTTCAATCACAAGCATCCATAAACTGCTATTCAAATATAATATAGATATGGGAGAAGGAATCGTGTTTACCTGGAACAGACATTTAAAAAAATGATTGCTCCTTTAAAGTGAACTCACTGAGAAAAAAATCTTGGAAATAATAAAAGAGCTTCACTGAACCCATACTAATGCTAGTGTGAGTTTTTGCTGTGTCTGTACCCCTTTGGTAAACACACACGTCATCACCTAAAGCTTCTCTCTCCTACAATCCAGAGTCTAATCTACAACTACCATAAAAGAAGACAATACACTATCAGTAGGTATGATGGGGGGGTCACTTGGATCTTATAGACCTTAACATCACGTAGGTAATGTGAATGTGTCGAAGGGTCCACAGTATGCATTCAATAAAAATTCATTGCATCACATTCCTGAAAGCAAGAAGAGGAAAACAGGGATAGAAGCTGTTGCAGGGGTGGAATAAGGACAGTGTCAGATCAGAGGAAAGACGACTATTTGACTTTAAGTATTAAACTAATTGGATTTCCTTGATTCTTAGAAGTGTGTCTGTGACAGTTTGCTCCGAAAGCAAACATTAGTTTTCATGTCCTGGAAAGATCCCATGACCCCGCATACCCATGCTCCATAAAGGTATTACTCCAGCTAATCTGCTGTAATGCGCCAATCCCCAAGGGATGGGAGACAGACTTCAGTGCTCGGACCAGAGCACAATTGGTCTGCTGGGACCTCACGGGTCACACAAGGTAAGATCCATCTGGGTCACTGTGTCAAGCACATGAAGCTCTGATCGAATAAGCTTTTCCAATGGGATTGAGGACATTGAAAGAGGCAAAAGTCAGGCTAAAGCGCCAATTAAGTCTCATTACGGACCTGTGTGATGTGCTCAGGGCTCAGCTGGACACTTGATGGCAACAACAGGAACTGTCAGTTGGTGCCCACAAGACCAGGTGCGCTGACTTCAGCACAGGCGCCCTCCGAATGGTGGTTAAAGCGCTGCATGTTGCATACCAACAGCAGAAAAGCCCACCTGGCCTCAGGCACAAACCAGAGTTCATTTGGCTATCATTAAAGAGGACCAACAATGTGGCACGCTGATATAAAATTACCCGATCTATAATGGTAATCATTATGCCATTTATCAAAATTGGCCAGTTGAGTCAACATCTGGCTTCAATAGGGGGCTCTTGTCGGTGAGGGTCTTGGCACAGTCTTGTACCCTACATATTTTCCACTCTCTTTTATCAAGGCCTGCTGTCAGTGATTTGACGAAGCTAAATAGATGATGATTTGGCCCTATTATGTTTCGCAGGACTCAAGCAAACAGGATTTGTTGATTGCTTTTGTGTTTGTCCTTTTTTTTCCCGCCCTTTTCTCTTTCTACCCATATAGATCCAGGAGAGGTAACGGCGTCTTGTGGCTCTCCAACGTGTGTCTGACTGTGTACCGAAAAGAGGATGGAGAGGGGGAAAGCACAGAGAGTACTCTCACACAAACCTGTGAGTGCAGGGGCTGGACTGAACCGCTGGATTCAAGCCAAGGCCGGCACAAAGAACTCTGTCACATCCCCAAGTTTTATGGGAGGAATATAATCTTGTGTGCTGTTGGAATCAGGTAATGAATGAATCTGATCCTGTCGTCGTTTGGCATCAAAGTACGAGTGTAATGTACTTTATCTAGCAGGAAGTAATTAAGGCAAACTTTGCAGTGATTGATATTACTAGAGTTTGGCGCAGACACTGTTGACACTGCTTATGATTTCAATACAAAAGGGAAACTATAAAATAGATTGCAAACTGTCAGCGCTGCTCTCTCTGCAAATAAAACCCACAAGGGAGAGATTTCAGGAGTCAATGTTTTGCTTAAATGAATTGTTTTGTGGAAATATTGGACTGATACTCTTTCATATTTGTCTGCTGAATGTAAAGCTGCAGCCAGAAGAGATTACCTTCTGGCTATACCTCTGAAGACCATGAATAAACACTGGACTACAGCTGAAGGGATTCAAGAGGTGGCTGTAGCTCTACAGGTTCTCAAAGCCTTATCAGAGTAGCTCACTACATCTAACAGGTTGAGTTTTTGGAGTGCTAAGTTAGCAGCTAATGCTACCTAGCTTCGTTAGCAAGGCTCAGGCACAGACTGAATGAGCGTGTTACAAAAACACACATATTTGCTATTAGCGCTGATAAAATTATACTTGAATTTCATCACACAGTGCTTGAACAGGCACCAATGCCACAAGCATGGTTGAGAGGTCCAGTTCTGTGATTAAACTTAGCTGAGGTGACACCTAGCATGTATTGGTATCTAACTTAAACTTGCAGTGTGTAAAATCTCACCAGTAAATGTCAGTAGATTGCAAACTGCCATCAACTGAGTCCTGCATTCTTGCCCCTCCTAATTCAAACGCATCAGGTGGTCGCTGTAGGACAAAAAAATCTTGCCGCCGTTCGTCTGTGTTGTTTACCTCAACTGTCAATATGTGTCCACGTTTATTTACTCTGGAGAAGGCTGTAAAACTTTGTTGAAGGACTTAGATATCAGCTAATGAGTCACTTCTGACCAATGAACTGTTCTGTGTTTTTGCCGCTGTTAGCCGGTATTAGCCTATGTGTTGGTGTTACTGAAACTGTCTTTTAAGTGGATCTAAAATGGTTAGACTTAGACACAAGTAAACTCTCATATGAAGTGAGAAGGTAATGAAACTGTTTAATCAGAGGGAAAGTGGGATTTTTTAGGACACTCGAGCCTAACATTAGCTAGCATAATGCTAGCTTAGAACCATCAGTTGTTTAGTCAGCTCATTGTCAGCTTCCTGGAGATGGGAGGGTTGCATTTTTAATCTGCTAACAATAATTGAGCCCATGCCTATCTATTTTTGATAGATTAATGACAACATTTTGATAACGCATCAATTTGTAAATTATACATGCTAATCAATGCATATTTGTGAATTTAACATATTTTTTTTATTAAATAAGCTAAAAAAAATGACTTGCTTTATCTTAAAAAACGAATACAGTGTAAATTTATAAGTTATACAAAGACCACTGAGTTTGCAGCTGCTATAAAAGGGAAAATACGCTATAAACAATTCTTCTTTTTTTTTTGCACCAGGCTGTAGACAGCTGCATTTGTTCTATAAAGCTGGGTATTTTAACTATCTGTTGTCTGTGAGAATTCACTCAGAGACGTGAATATCTATTTAAATATTTCCCCCCAAAACAGTTATTTTAACTAATTAACGACAGCAGGGCTTGGTTCGCTAAAAATATTAGAGACTTCTAGCGTTTTAGGAATTTCACAAAAGACAACCTCTTTCAGTGAACAACTTCAGCCTTCGTGAAGGGACCCTCAAGATCTCAGGCAACAGCCCGCGTTTGTTTGCAAAAATGTAGTTGAAGAGAGCTCTGGGAATAAAAGAGGGCTGTCTAAAAATGCACTAGTCCTAAATAGTGCTCTCGGCTCTGTGTATTCCCACACAAATTTGCATAAATTTCATAGTCTAAGTCATGGACTGTGGCTGGAGCGTGTTATTAGTCTATCTATAGGTGGTAGTACAGACCGATCACACTGAGCCTTGTTGTTATCTCACTGAAAGCACCCCGGTATTACACCCTGCGGATTGAGAGTGGGTTCTTAAGATCGTGGGATTTGTTCACATATTAAAGCATGTCTGTTTGGATGCGCGGAAAAGAAACAGGTGTTCAGTGTTTATGTGTGTGTGAGAGGGAGAAAGCGGGAGAGCGCCTGTGTGTCTTTGTGTTTTCCTTCTGATGTTTGTTCGAAAGCGCGCACGCACATGGGATGAGAACCCATCATTCATGTGTGCGTGTGTGCGTGCATTTGTGTTTGTGTGTGTTTGACTTGACAGAGGGGTGGGGGGTGCTTTATTGAAAAGTACTCCTCTCCTCCCCTGTTCAA